GTTTTTTTTACCCATTCATCAAACATGATAAAATGTCTCTTCTTGTTCATGTTTCCCACATAAATTTAATATAAATTTATATATTATAGACAATTTCTCTGGGGACGTCTCAAGGATTTTTTCAAAGTCTAAATGGTTTTGTGGGGAATAAGTTAAATGTCGATTTTGTTCTAAAATGCTTAGAACACGTGTTAATATATGTTAAAGAAGATTAAGAAATTTTAAACAATTGTATGCCTAAAAGACCTCTATAAAAATGGGATATCAAGCTTACATGGAACTGCACTAAAATGATAGAATACCTATCTTGTAACTTCCGGAAATGTATGTCAAATAACATTCAGATGGTGCTAGTTAAAGGTGATAGCTTCTTTTTTTTTACTGCTTTCAGTGGGGTAAAATAGCAGAGGGCCATTATTGAATAGCAAAGGAACTTTACTATACTCTACATTTCTCATTCATGTAAGACTGCTAACTTTCAAGATGCATAACATATGTTTATCCGTGATAGAGTCCGATTTTACATGGCTCTATATTACTGTAGTGTAGAAGACACATCAAGATCAAATATTTGAAAGTGTCTTCAAGCAAAGTTCCCTGTGTTCAAGAGTGCCTGGATGTGATAGCGAATAAGTATAATGCAAACTTCTCCCTGTTATGTAATTTACTTGAGTAGTTGGTGGTGGTATTTTAAATTTATTGGCCACCAACTCCAAAGGACTCTCTTCAGCACACAACACTAGAAAAACCCCTTTTAAAACAGAGTTCACAAATATTGGTTTCCATGGGCTAAATAGGTGGCCCCAAACTTATTAAATTATAAATAAGTTCCTTTTCCATCTAACAATTGTCATAATCTTGCTAATGCAAGGCATTAATAAAAGTACATATTATTGTGTCTTCAGTATGCTATCGTATTTTATAAGCCAGAATTACTACAGGGGAAGCCAATAGTAAAAATGAAAAAACAAATAAAGTCTTAAGTTGGTGGCAGTGCTTAACTAGCAGAATGAGCCTCAGAGGGTAGAAAGAAGTTAGGAAGAAATTGCAAAATAATTAGAGAAACATGGGGTGGAGGTACACAAGGACAGAACTAGCACATATGTTACCATAGACTTTAACCCTGGCAATAAGAAGCTCGGTGTGAGTTAAGATTCTCTTAACAGGAAATTCTCGCCCTTCTTATAAAATGGTGAGTCTCCATATAACTTTGAGGTTACTGTACTATAATAATGTTTTGGTTAAAATCTGTTGGATTTGGAATTGCTTTTTCCAGTGGACTTGTGTTGATAAAAACAGCTTGGGAAATATGCAGCAGTTGCCAAATATCTTGCTCTAGCTGGACAGACTTCCTCTTTTTAGCCAACACAATATTTGGATGGTACAAGTGATGTGGCTTGATGATCAGTTATGTTTAGTCCCAATATTGGCTTGGATAATATTAAAGTGTAACTGTCAGCAGGAGAAAGAGGCCGTTCATGTGGCTGTGATCAACTGAGTGGGTTTGAATTGCAAAAAGGTCATATGCAGGTAGCCCCCTGTGTTTCCAATGCAGTTTTAAAGAGGGAGGCAGGGCTATTCAAGGTTGAAACTAGTGCAGGATCTTGCCCACAGATCTGAGCCCTTTCCTTATGGAGGGTAATCAGTGGTGGGATTCAGCTGGTTTGCACCGATTCACATGAACCGGTTGTTAAGTTACCCGCCCTCCACTACCAAAGTGGATCCTGGGTGCTGCACTGCAATGGATAAATGGGCAGTGGAAAAAGAAGTCTGCTTTTCTTCCTCCTTCCCTCCATTGCAGTGCAGAGCCCAAGAACCACTTTAATTGGGGGGGGGGGTGTAATTTAACAACCAGTTCTCCCAGGGTCAGGTTTGTCCCACATGTGTGGTGGAGCTGGTGGACAGAGATGTGCCAGGCCTCCCATGACAGCCAACCTGACCCTGGGCAAACTGGTTGTTAAGTTATTTGAATCCCACCACTGGGGGTAACTATAAATCAACGTGGGTTAGAACTGTTTTATTAAAACTCCAACATCCAGGCCCAAGATTGACTCAGCCTTCCATCCTTCTGAAGTCAGTAAAATGAGGACCCGCCTTGTTGGGAGCAATATGCTAATTCTGTAAACCACAGAGAGGGCTGTAAAGCACTGTGAAGCAGTAGATAAGTCTAAGTGCTGTTGCTATCTCAGCCTCTCCAAGGAAAAGTTCCTAATGATGGGTATGAACATGCACTTAATGCATTTAAACAAAGCATTAAGAATCAGGACACGTCTGCTTTACCTAAGAATGTTTTCTAGAACATACAGTGAGATATTTATATCATATAACTCTCTCTAAAATTTCAGAGGACATTAATTTTGGCCTGTAATGTTCTGCCCACAGCAGTTCTGGAGGACCGATATTAAAAAGTTCCATATGAGCCCGAGTCTGTGTTCCTGTAGACAAGGAGACTACAGTTTCAATATCCTGTGTATTGCCCCCTCTGTAGGGACTCATGGACTCATAAGAACTTGCCTGATTAAATATCCTGAAATTCTGATCTCTTTTATGTACAACTAGGATTGTCGGATCAGTATGATCCAGTTTTTCTGAATGTAGCTAAGTTTTGTTACACTGTCTATAAAATTAGGCAGACCTTGATCACCCACTGATGATTTTATCATCAAGTGTAATATATTACTATGCTTTGTTCGGTTTTGCTTTATTTTAATGTTTAATTTTATGTGCTGCTGTGTGATCGTAACATAGATTGGCAATTGACAAAAATGCAAGACCGAGAGGAAAGATTTTCATAAATTGTTCTGGCTGTCCAGGAGCAATAGTTTTCATTTTATATTTCTTTGTCTAATAAGAGAATATTATATCTGTTTTCCCATAACCAAGATGGACGGGAATGAGCCTAGATCAGTGTTTCTTAACCGTGGCAACTTTAAGCTGTATGGACTTCAACTCCAGAATTTCCCTACCAGCATGCTGGCTCTGGAATTGTTGGAACTAAAGTCCATACAGCTTAAAGTTGCCAAGGTTAAGAAACATTGGTTTAGGTAATATCACTTGGCTGGAGTTGTGAGGCCATAATGTGCTCCAAAACTTTATCAAATATGTCAAGTTGCAACTGGCTGTCTGAAAATATAGTACCTACATTTGTTTTTACTCTTGCTTTTTCCAGAGTTGGAGACTCTTAACTTTTCAGAAAGACATTATTGATTTCTAAGCTCTAAATACCCAGACCATTTTAAAGCTAATATTACAAGAAAGTATGCAAGTGGTTGTTTTATTTTGCATACCTGGATAATACATTTTGGTTTATTCTGCAGCTGTTCACATTCCACATACCTTTATTATAATTAAGGATGGGTTTTTTTTGTCTAAAGCCAGAACTTTCAGTTATTCAGTTGTTTATTTGCTGATAAACAAATGGCTTCAATTTAATTTTTTTTACACATTAAATATTATACATTAATATTTATTTTAAGGAATCTCAGACTTATCCCAAGTACATTTTATTTAACATATTTATAACTTACCTACAATGCAGAGGATCTTGTAATAGATTACATTATATAATGTGTTGTACTGATAAAGGAGAATATTTGTAGTTCAGGATTGAAATGAAGGGCCTTTGGTGCTCTCTGAGCTTAGTTGTTTTAATACAGACATTTCATTACCCAAACTAGGTAACATCATCAGTACTAGTAAGGAATGGCTCTCCATTTATATGCTAGTAATTTGCCCTGTCAGTGTTGTTGGGAATTGTCTTGGAGGTTCTTTGGTTGAGCTGTTTAGTGTTTGCTTGTTTGGCAGTTCTTTGATTTGGGGCATTGTTTAGTTCTTGATTGTTAGTCTGATTTTACTTTGATGCTCACATCATTGATCTGATGTTAATCTTGGTATTAGTCTATCCATTTTGTTGGAAGAAGTTGTACGTGTGACCTGTTTCCTTTTTTCTGCACTGTGTTTGTCTTATCTGAATAGAGTTCTTACACAAGAACAAGCCAAATCCAAAAACACTAGAGAAGTTCTGGAAGCCTGGCACTCTGACAAATTGGCCATCAGTAGATACAATACATATAAACAATATCTACATACTCTGCAGAAGAGACGATGAACAATCCAAAAGGGAACAATAAGACCCAAGTACCTCATCACCAGCAATCAACACCCAGATGAGCATAGATTAACACCAAGATTAACCTTAGACCAACAGTCAAGAAGTAATATTACCTCAGTTAAGAAACTGCCAAATAAGCTAACATTAAACAACCCCAGCAAATAACCCCCAAAATCACTCCCACCAAGGCTGACAGGGCAGGCCACTAGAAAATAAACTGGGAGAAAACGCCACTCTTTACTACCGCTGATTATGTTACCTAGTTTGAGTAATGAAACATCTGCAAGACAATAACCAAGCTCCGAGAGCAGCAAGGACCTCTCATAATGTAGAGTATTATTTTCATCAGTAAGTGTCCAGTAATATTTACCATGTAAAATAATGGAGTGATGCTTCATTTTGTTTTGTTTATTGACATTCACAGTCTTCCTTTTTTGCTAGCTAATGAATATTATCAATAACTTAGGTGTCTATCTGGCAGAGGAATGATGTCTTACACACTAATCTTGTATTTAAGAATTCCCATAGTCATTTAACATTGGTTTGGGGTGATACAAGCTAAAATCCAAAATTTTTGAGAACTCAGGTTCCTTATTCTTATTTTTTACATACATACCAGAGGTGGTATTTAGCAGGTTCTGACCAGTTCTGGAGAACCGGTAGCAGAAATTTTCAGTAGTTCAGAGAACCAGCAAATATCACCTCTGATTGGAGATTTTACAGTATACTTCCCCGCCACGCCCACCAAGCCACGCTCACAAAACCGGTAGTAAAACATTTTGAATCCCACCACTGATACATACACCTGCATGCCTATACATACACCATAAACTACAAAACTGCCAGAAAATTTATGTATAGCCTAAGTGATGCCATTTTGATTTTTCAGTACAAAGGGAGAGCAAACTTGCATGTATTTGAAGATTGGTGTGGAGGAGCTGTGGGACATCTAAGGAAGAATCTGCATTTTCCCCTATATCCTCATGTGAGTATAATCTATTCTCCAAAAAAATGCCAGTTCTTCATAGCTTCTAAAAGAGTGCTTCTTCTCTTTTTCTATGCAGTAAATATTCTTAAGTTCTTCTGAAGTGAATTTACATTTTGTTAAATGTAATTTGGCTTTATCTGAATGATAGTGAATGCCATTCGTTCATTTGTTCGTTTACAGCATTTGTAAATTGTTCCTATCATTCTGACTCTTTGTATACAACAAAGAAATTAAAATCAAAGTGTACAAAAGTAAAATAATCAGTCTTTTCTCGCAGGTCCCATCATGATTTGCTGGGCTACAGTTTCTCCTAATTAAAGATTGTGCTGTCCAGAAATTATTGGAGTTCAGTACAACCTAAGGACATAAATTTGAGTAAAAATGTAGTCTATGCAGCTTCCTGTCCCTATGATTGTGGCCAAATATGGGAACTCTCACAAAATTAGAATCTGATAGAGGAAGCTATATAGTAGTGTGGGAAGATCAGCAGTGCAATAGAAATTCCCACTTGATTTCATTTATTCTTATAAATGGTGCCTTTAGGTTCTTTCAATAGTCACTTTGCTGGATGAGTGAATGAATTTTATAGCCAAAGGCCAGCAATGTAAAAGAGCTTAGAAGAGGAAAACATCAAGACAATAGTGCAATACACAATAAAGCAAACAGTAACACTAAAGTAATGGGACATTATTTACTGTATCTGAAGAGAAAGTTTAACTGGCATTCCCTCACTCTGCTGATGTTTTGTGTAATGCTTTAAATTTGCACAATACATAGGAGAAGCTCATATATATAAATTCTGTTTTCCAGTGTGCTATCACAGTGAATACAATTGGATAGCATTGGTCCAACATTCCACTTTCCCGCTGTGAAGTGGAAAGTTACATGCAAAGAACTTCTTTTTTCCTTTCTAACTTTTAGACTCGTACAACAGTAAAAAAGTTGGCTGTGTCACCCAAGTGGAAAAATTACGGGCTACGTATTTTTGGCTACATTCATCCCTTCAAAGATGGTGAGTACAATAACTTCTCCTTCAAGGGCAAAGCTTCCTTTCTGGAATTTCTCTCCCTTAGCTTCATGCCAGAATATTTTTATTCAAAAAAATCCCCTATTATTGCCTTTCTCCCACAGTCTCACACTGGGCATTGTTGTGCAGCTTCAGAAGAATTATCTAAGTAATAAGCACAAAACAATTTGTAAACCAACTGACACACTGTATGTATATATATGAAAGATGTCTTGATGTTTTTATGTTTTGTTTGTCTATGTTTGTCTTAAAAACCAATAAATTTTTTTTAAAAAAAGAATTATCTAAGTAATGATTGTAACACATTTAACTCCTCAGTGCCCTTCCCAAGTCATAAGTTTCATGTCTTCAAAAAGCTTATGAGACTTTTGAATAAAGTATTTCTTTCTCTCCCCACCCACTCTTAAAAATAAACCAAACAATAAGGCACTGTCACTCCAGGTTTTTGAGATCAGACAGTAACATTTAAGAACACATGACATTGTAGGTAGCCTGCTAGGACAGGAAACAAATTTAAATTTCAACTTTCCTGCTCTTAATTAGCTAAATTCTCTTTCCTTGTCTTATAGGAGATTTTCAGTTTTCTGTAGCTTCGGATGATAATTCTGAATTTTGGTTCAGCTCTGATGAGACCCCAGCCAATATACGTCTGGTGGCGTTTGTGGGCAAGGTGGGCAACTTTTGATAATAAATGATGATAAAGGTATCGTAGCAGCTTTCCATTGGTCGATGTGCTTCTTACAGCATTTTTACAAACAGCACCATTTGGCATCATCTCTTTGGTTCCTTGCTGAGAGAGTTAAATGTAAATGAAACTGTAGTGTTGCCACTGGGAGACATATAAACCTTGAACCAACTCAGCTGTGAGGTTTACATCTGGAGGCTGCATAATTAAAACCTGGATGTATTGTACAAAATTCAAATGTGTGTGTGTTTGAGGGTCTGTTTGAAATTCTCACATGTTACAATAGTGATATTTTATATGCAAGCCCCCTTCTGCTCCTGTGGTTCACAGCTTGAGCCCATTTGGTTTTTTTCAACTAACACTGCCTTGCATTGTAGGTCTCTTGTCTATGGCTATAGCAAGGTTTATGCTTATTTCTCTCAGTTCATTTAGAGTGGAAATAGAGTTCTCATTTCCATACTATGTATAGAGAGTCTATTTACCTCTATGTTGGGGAGTAAAGAAAATGCTGGAAATAAAGCACGTTTTCCCATATAAAGGAGGAAATTTGCAGTTTGATTTCAGGCAAAATGTTTTGGTTTATTGAGTTAGTTAATTAGTTATTACATTTATTTATGCACTGCCAAGCTCCCAGATTCTGGATGATTTACAAATTAACTATCATAAAAGCATATAAAATCCCAAACAATTACTCTGTGCAACTGCCAGACCAAGCCATCATAACCCAAAACACCAATCAAATAAAAATAAAGCAGGAGCCCAGTGTCACAAAAAAAAAAAGTTTATTAAAGCACACATTATTTTGTAAAAGGTGATTAAACAAAACAATACTGGCAGATTGGAGGAAAGTCTGAATTAGACCTTCGAGGTTAAATTATTCCATAGCCTTAAGGCCACCAGAAGACAGCTTCTTGGTCCATGACCCTGTGACTTTGTCAGGGATCAGGGCCCTCAGCATCCCTTGCATGTAGAGGTGGGGAGCATCCAATTAGGAGAGGCAGGTCCTCAAATAACTTAAAGCCAAGTCACAAAGGGCATTACAGATTAAGGGGAAAAAATTGGATTGGCTCTGGGAAACTAACAGTAACCATAACATCATATTACAACTCTCACTAACCAGGCAATTGCATTTTTACCAATTGAATTTTACAGATAGACATAACCTCCAGAAAAGCATATTATAGTCATTTAATTGTTGGGTGTGGTCATATGGTAAGGTTTCTTTACCCAGGAAAGACTGCAAATGGCACACCCATATAAGATGGACAAGAACTCCCTCTGGTCCTAGGGTCTATCTCTTGTTCTAGTTACTGACCTGAAGTTTTTCAGGAAATTGCCTAAGCCACAGATCTTCCTCTTCAAAGGGGTAACCTCCTCAGATCTATTAAAGCAGTGATCCCCAACCTTTTTTACGCCGCGGCCCGGTACCGGCATCAGCTGGGCGCCGCGGCCCGGTACCGGCATCAGCTGGGCGCCGCCATCTTTTTTTGATGAAAACGTGCTTCCAGTGAGCTTTCTACCCGGAAAAGCTCACCGGAAGCACTTTTTCATCAAAAAAAGATGGCGCCCAGCAAGCCAGCGGCCCGGTAGGAGTTGTTCCGCGGACCGATACCGGTCCGTGGACCGGTGGTTGGGGACCCCTGTATTAAAGGATCAGAAATAAAGGAGGATTCAATCTGAGCTATGAAGTCTCTTACAGCATGAGGCAAAGACTTCTCCAGCACCTCTGGTCTGGCCTAGGATGATTTTATGCAACTGGTTATCATGATCAGTGGCTGTTGAAGGACCTGAAATCTAGGAGGGCATATATCTAGCAGAACTACATGCCTCCTTTAGTGATGCATGCTGAGTCTGCCCATTCATGTGCTGCCAGGTCATGAATGAAAGAGGTCTTGTTATGAACAAACTTGATATTTACTAAGACATCCAGAAGTCTAACTTTCAGGTTCAAGTCCCAAAGGTGCTTTTTCAGGAGGCAACTGGACTTTCTTGTTTTTTCATCTTTGAAGACTTTTCGCTTCTCATCCAAGAAGCTTCTTCAGCTCTGACAGGATAGTGGGGAATGGAAGGATTTATATTCCTTGCAGACAGCTGGTCATTTGCATCCTTAGAGAGTCCTTGAAGCACTTGGAGGTTTATCTGTGTCTTCAGGGTCACCTGAGTAGTGCTCCTGGTTCCTGTAATCTGCAGTTTTTTTCTCTGGAAATCCATTCCTACTCCCACACCATTGAAAGGGTATTCACCCCAAATTGTATAGCTAAAAGTCTGTAGAAATTCTCAGTCATCCAGGCCATGGTTGTCCCAAAGGTGCTTTTTCAGGAGGCAACTGGACTCTCTTGTTTTTTCTTCTTTGAAGATGTTCAGGTTCAAGGGAAATGGAAATCTGCACTAAATTGTGCTTCCTCTTTTTCCTGTAACAGCCAACCTATCATCCTTTATCAAATCTATCTCTTCATGACCCAAGCAGTTGGGCATCCTATTAAAATCCATTCATACTGTGAATGCTTTGCTGTTTTCGGGGAAAGTAGCATAAGAAACAAAAAATGTACAAAATAACTTCAGTAGAGAAACGTTCAATGTTTGTGAGTTTTAGCTCAGCTATTCAACTTTAAAATGTTTGAAAACAGCTAAATAAATGCTTCTGCCCCCATGCTGTCAACAGTCCCTCTGTAGATTTTTCTGAATCTGGGAAAAGTGCATTCCTGTGCATTTATAGACACAAATGTAATGGACAAAGAGAGAATTAATGCAACCCCTTGGGCTATTTTGAGTTCTATAATCATAGCACTGTTTTGCTGTTCAGCAAATTCTATATCTTTGACAGAAGCAGCAAAGTTATGTTAGAGGCCTCAAGGACTGCTCATTCAATATTACTGGTGTGCTTATACATTAAATACTAATGGCCTGTTTTACCTTATATGGAATCAGGAAAAGGTTTCAAAGAAAAGGTTAGATCTGTGAAACAACTCCAGAGTTGTCTGACTCTGCCCTTAGCCTGACTTCTCACAAATAGGATTTTTTAAATCTGGAAACCTAAAAGGTATATTTTGAGAAGTTAGAGAATTTGGTAATACTTGCTGTATAATGTTTAAAGATGGAAATATGCATTGTGTTTTATTTGAACAGAATTCTCACATGCAATGAGAATGGTGTTCCTACTTTATCCCCTAGTTACCAGAACTATTATATGTGACTACTTTAGTCTAGTCACTCATGGTCTAATGCCTTTGGGAATTGCAACTCTCCAACTTGCAGCCAGCAAGATCAAAGATGAAAGACACCTTCTGAACACCAGCTAAGAAGATCTAGATTCTGCAAAGAAATGGCTTCAGGCAAAAGTTTCCTGTGCTTGGAGTTACTTCTCTATGATTCCTTATTCCAACCAAGAGTATGAGAGGAATACAAAGGAAATGCTATTTGTAAAAACTCTTAGTTGCTTTCACAATTGTTTCAAGAAGCCAGGAAGGAATAGGGTTGTTTTTAAATAGCAATGTGAGCAGAATGTTTTTGTACCAGAAAGAGATGTGAAAGGGTTAAACTGCACCATTCCTGCACCATTTTTTTCAGCCCTGAATTAAAGCCTCTGAATTTGCTTGTCAGTAAAGAGCAAAGAAGAAACAGAACCATTGGGAGAAAAACACATACAAATACTGTGTGTATGATTAATAGTTTGGTTCTAAAAACATTAGGAAGTAGGTAATTGCTAGGAACACTCTTTCAAGACAGAGAAGTTTTCATGTGAAATTGATCAGATTTCATATCTGTTTTCCCTTCCTCTGAACATGTGTTTTTATTGCTTATCTCACTTATTTCAAAGACTGTCTCTCAAACACTGGGAAGTTTTGAAATCCCCAGGGTGTACCAAACAGATTTATAATCTGTGTTTTTGACATTCTGTTAACAAATTAAAGCAACACAAAATTAAATCTTCCTTTATGGTCATATTTTAAACGTGCATGGCCAATTCCCAGAACAGCCGTAGTTCTCTCCATGTGTATATTTGTAATAGATGCACAAAGGCCAGGGTCAAAACTTGCACATATATGCCCCTTTTCACATATAAAGAACATTCACATGTTCTGAGCCATGCCCTTTCCCAACAAATCAAACACAATCCAAAAGGAACAGAAACCTTGTAATGCTTTTGCAAAATAATTAGCTGTGATAAACACAAGCCTTGCCAAACTGTGTGAGACTTGCCAAAAGATAATAGACAAGAAATAATTTGCAATACAAGAATTTTCAAATACAAACTCAGGATACTGGAATGTCCATGAAGCTGGAGTTTCAAAACATCTTTGCCTTCTGCAAAGTACGTTCATTTCACAGCTTGCTTTTATCTTCTTGAAGGAGGGGCCATTACCTTGCAGCCTTACTCCTGAGTCACCCATGCTGTTGTAGCTGCTCTTTCCTCTGAGCAATCCTGCGCGCACGCACACTTGGCATAGGCTCCTCGGGAACCTCCTCATCACTGCTGCCAGCCCCCACAATCTCTGAAGGCAGCCCTGGCCCCTCATCTGAATCATCGGTCTCCTCAGCCGTCCGCACCTGCGGCTGGCTAACCACAACAAGAATACCCAGACCTAGGATCAATGCCACATCCCTGTGTTATGAGAATGGTGTGGAATTTTCTGAAATTCCAGCTGAGATTATTAATTTACAGATTAGTTGTTACCTCATAACAAATGTTTCAAAGGCAGTTCCATAGCTTTTCCTCTGGGTGTTCCATTGCTCTGCCTCCCACCTCCTTGAATTTTTCCTCTACTGAAGCCAACATGTTTAGGGCCCTGTCACCCCTCCTCTCCATTTTCTTTAAGAATAATTGGAAAAGCAATTTTGTTGTTACTTTCACAAAGCTACCATTTTTATTCCCTCCCCATAAATGCAAATACAAAGGGGGGAAAATGACATTGGGAGGGATAGGGTGCAGGCTGGAACATAGATTTTCTTGTAGTTTTCATACTTTTCCATCTTCTTTGATTCCAGCTCTAGGTAGCAGAGATGGGAATGCTAACAAAGACACAAATGATTATTTTTTTTAATCATTTGTGAGCTGAAACTGGGACAGAGACAAAAAAAAGAAGAAAAAGTTGTAACTGGAAAAGTTACAACTACTTTTATCTCAGGCATTATTTATTTATTAGATTTTTACCCAGCTTTTATTACTTTATATATAATTCAAGGCAGGGAGCATACCTAATACTCCTGCCTCCTCCTATTTTTCTCACAACAGCAACCCTCTGTGGAGAGTTGCGTTGAGAGTGACTGGCCCAAAATCACCCAGCTGGCTTTCATGCCTAAAGTGGGATTAGAACTCACATTCTCTTGATTTCTTGACCACCTGTTCAACCACTACACCAAAGTGATTTTCACTATTATAGAGATTGGAGGCCCTATCATGGGGTAAGCTTACAATTTTTGCATTATCACAGATGTGACCAGTTGCAAGCCATTCTTGTTTGATCAGTCCTTTTCAATTTTGCCTATTTGCAAAAGCCAAGCCTGGTTGAATTAGATTAGTGCTTGAATAGGAGAGTATCAAAAGATCTCAGTAGGCGAGACTGGAATAATAATAATAATAATAATAATAATAATAATAATAATAATAATAA